GGGGCCCGGATTGCCCTGCTGGTCACCCCATAGATCGGCTCTAATCGCCAGCAAGGCCTAGGGATCCTACAAATTTTGTGCACTGGGTCTCTAGTGTTGAATAAAATTAAAAGAATGGCATTCCTTTCTTGTTTCTAATCTTAGAGAAAAGGTTTTCAACTTTTTACCTTTGAGTATGATGTTAGCTGCGGGCTTATACAATTTCTATCAATGTTTATAATAAATATTAATTTAGATTATAACTTGATTACTCGGGGTGAGTAGCCGGATATAAAAAAGGACCAATTAGAAACTAAACATACACTGAATGAAATAAAAAATATTATACAGAGACCCAACAGCAGACTAGAGGTATGCAAGAATCAGGTCAAAGATTTGAAATACAAAGCAGCAAAAAACACTCAACAGGAAAAGCAAAAAGAAAAAAGAATCCAAAAAGTTGAAGATAGTGTAAGAAGCCTCTGGAACAACTTCAAGCATACCAACATCAGATTTATAGGGAGTGCCAGAAGAAGAGAGCAAAATACAGAAAACCTATGGGAAGATATAATGACTAAAAACTTCCACCACCTGGTGAAAGAAATAGACTTACAAGTCCAGGAAGTGCACAGAACCCCAAACAAAAGGAATCCAAAGAGGACTACACCAAGACACAAAATTAAAATGTCAAGGGCAAAAGACAAAGAAAGAATATTAAAAGCAGCAAGAGAAAAACAATTACCTACAAGGGAGCACCCAAAAGATTGTCAGCTGATTTCTCAACAGAAACTAGGCAGGCCAGAAGGGAGTGGCAAGAAATATTCAAAGTGATGAATAGCAAGAACCTACAACCAAGATTACTCTACCCAGCAAAGTTATCATTCAGAATTGAAGGTCAGATAAAGAGCTTCACAGATGAGATAAAGCTAAAGGAGTTCATCACCACCAAACAAATAGTTATGAAATGCTGAAAAGTATTCTTTAAGAAGAGGAAGAAGAAGAAAAAAGTAAAGATAAAAATTAATAACAACAAAAACATATCTATCAACAAATGTATCTAAAATTCAAGTGAATTAAAAATCTGAGGAACAGAATAATCTGGTAAATACAATAGAATCAGAGGCATAGAATGGGAGTGGATTGGTAATTCTTAGGGGGAAAGGGATGTGAGGGGTATAGGAAGAGACTGGACAAAAATCGTACACCTATGGATGAGGACAGTGGGGGGAGGTTAGAGCAGAGGGTGGAGTGGGAACTGGGTGGAGAGGAGCTATGAGGAGAAAAAGGAGAATCAATTGTAATAATCTGAATATTAAAGATTTATTAAATTTTTAAAAATCCCTAGAGGAAATCTATTCTCCTTGCCCATCAAGGAATCTGACATCATTGAGTTTTACTTGAGGGCATGTCTCAAGGATGAGGTGTTAAAGATCATGCCTGTGCAAAAGCAGACATGTGCCAGCCAGCAGATCCGGTTCAAGGCATTTGTCGCCATTGGGAACGACAATGGACATGTTGGTCTGGGTGATCAGTGCTCAAAGGAAGTAGCCACTGCCATCCGTGGAGCCATTATCCTGACCAAGCTCTCTACTGTCCCTGTGCAGTAAGGCTACTGGAGGAACAAGATCAGCAAGCCCCACATGGTTCCTTGCAAAGTGACTGGCAGGTGTGACTCTATATTGGTGTGCCTCACCCTTGCCCCCAGGATTACAGGCATTGTCTCGGCCCCTGTGCCTAAGAAATTGCTGATGATGTCTGGTATTGATGACTGCTACACCTCGGCCAGGAGCTGCACTGCCACCCTGGGCAACTTCGCCAAGGCCACCTTTGATGCCATCTCTCTAAGACCTCACCCTGGATTCTGGAAAGAGATTGTGTTCACCACGTCTCCCTATCAGGAATTCACTGACCCACACCCGAGTTTCTGTGCAGAGGACCCAGGCCAGCTGTGGCCACCACAAAATTTTATACAAGAAAAATAAAGTGATTTAAGCCTGCTTTAAAAAAATTTTTTTTTTAAAGATCACCTTAGCTGGTTTGGCTCAGTGGATATGTTGGCCTGTGGACTGAAGGGTCTCGGGTTTGATTCCCTGTGGCTTGGTCCCCTGTGGTGGGGGAAGAGGAGGGAGAGTGGAGGTGGCATGCAGGAGATAGCCAATTTTATTCATTTTCATATTATAATTCTCTCTCATTGATATTTTTATCTCCCCTGCCCCATTTTCCTCTCTGACATCAATGAAAATATTTTTTCAAAAAATTTAAAGATCAACATAGAAGAGTTAAACAATAGTATTAGTAATGCTTTAGAACATTATTATGAAAGGAATGAACAATACCATTTTTATTTTTAAAACTGTTATTTGAGGTAATTTAAATGAATATGGATGTAAAAAGTACACAGGACATAAGGTACTCATCACCCATATTCAGCTATCATCTATTCATGGCAAAATTGTTTCTTTTCCAGTCCTCCCATTCCTCCCCAACTGTGGATTATTTTGGAGCAAATCACAAATATCATATGACTATCCTACCTAATAAAAGAGTAATATGCAAATTAACCATCACTCAGTTCAAGCCACGCCCAGCAGCCAATCAGAGAGAGTATGCAAATCAATCCCAACTAAGATGGCTGCAGCCACAGAGAGCAGTTGAGAGGCTTGGGTTTCCCCAGCAACAGAAGCCAAGCTTTTCACCTGCCCTAGCTGGCCTAAGCCTCCACTCAAGGCTACAAAGTTTCAATTATACAAGATACATGAACCCCAACAGAATAGGCAGCAGCCAGAGTGAACAGGGGGCTTGGCTCCGCTCCAGGCTACAGTTTCAATTGTAGAAGATAAATTCCAAATAACAGGGCCTCCGCTTGGGTTGCCAAGGGTGAGGGGGGGTTGGCCTGCAAACTACCACAGGCCCCTCGCCCAGGTTGCCCTACGCTTCAAGGGAACCCCCACCCTGATCCAGGACACCCTCAGGGCAAATCAGGTGGCCTCCACCCATGCACCAGGTCTCTATCCTATCTAATAAAAGAGTAATATGCAGATTGACCAAAGCTCCAACACACAAGCTCTCTGCCCCTATGTGGTCAAAGATCCTGCCCTTATGTGGACACAAGATGGCCACCACAAGATGGCCAGCAGGGGAGGGCAGTTGGGAGGGACCAGGTCTGCAAGGGAGGGCAGTTGAGAGGGACCAGCTCTGCAAGGAAGGGCAGTTGGAGGCGATCAACCCTATAGGAGAGGGCAGTTAGGGGTAGCCAGGCCGGCAGAGGAGGGAAATTGGGGGCAAACAGGCTGGCAGGGGAGCAGTTAGACATCAATCAGGCTGGCATGGGAGTGGTTAGAGGATGATCAGGCTGGCAGGCAGAAGTAGTTAGGGGCAATCAGGAAGTTAGGCAGGCGAGCAGTTGGGAGCCAGCAGTCCTGGATTGTGAGAGGGATGTCCGACTGCCCATTTAGACCCAGTGGGATCGGGTCTAAACAGACAGTTTAATATCCCTCAAGGGGTCCCAGATTGGAGAGGGTGCAGGCTGGGCTGAAGGACACTCCCCATACCATGCAGGAATTTCATGCACCAGGCCTCTAGTCTGTAAATATTTCATTATGTATTTCTAAACAGTAGACACTCTTTATTTAAACCATACATCACTCTTACCTTAATATATCCCTAAATCGTCTTTCCACTCAGCACCTATTTCCCAGTTGTCATATTATATAGACTATATATATTTTATTCATTTTCATATTATAAAAATATGTATTACTATTCTTAATTCAGGATCCAAATAAAGTCCATCCATTGTGATTAGTTCACAGGTCCTTGAGTCTCTTAATCTGATTGTGTATATGTGTTTCCTTGTAATTTTTTACTTGGAGAAACTGGGTCACTTATTCCATAAAGGTGCGATGTGAATCATTTATGTGATTGTCTGTTTTCTGTGTTTGTTTGTTTTTTTTTTATAAACTGGTAGATCCAAAAGCTTAATTTTTATTTTTAGGTCTGGAGACTTATTTTTTTCTGTAGGTCCAGGGTCTTATGGAATTGACTCTTCATGATTGCAGTGGGCAGCACAAGTTACGTATTATGATTCATAGACCTGTGCTGCCTAGTACAGGAGCTTCTCTGGCTATTTACTTTTAAATTACACTTTTCCAATTTAGTTGCTTGTTCACACCAGCTACATCTCACATGCTCAATAGCCACATGTGGTTAGCTGCTATCATACTGGCCAGCGTTGAAATAGAGTATTTCTATCATGACAGAAAATTCTACTAGATAGTTCTGTTTTAGACTTAGGGAGATCCTGGAGACATAAATGAATTGAGTGAAAAATTTCTGGTGTTCAAATAGATTTTTATATGTTTTATAAGTTTTCTGTATGTTTTATAACTCATATTTGTGTAGTGCTGTCTCTAATAGATAACTGCCCTTTTAAATCTGAATATTACAGGACCATTCCTTTGTTGGTGGAAAATATGACTAGTGTGTTCCTAGACAATTTTATTATAGAGACTAGTAATGTCTCCCCTAGAGTACGTTGTATTTTAGGTTGTTAATAAAAATATGTAGGCTCAATCGTATTCAGAAAGTATAAAATAAGTGATAAACACAGGTATGCCCAGACAGTGAGAGGAAAGCTGGTGATGTTGCTAGTGTAAAGTGGTCAGAACCACACATAAAAGTTATCTGTTAAGTTTCTATTATATAACATTGTTATGACATGAAATCCTAGAGTGGAGTTTTGCATCACAAAAAATAAGTCAGCAGAGGGAGCCAAAAATGTTGACTCTCTAAAATACTATTAATACTGGAAGTAAATGTTATAGCAAACCAAAAGAGGAATTCCCTAACTTTGTAAGGTGTTATGAAGAAAATGCTTTTATCAGCTCTACTGCTTATAAATATTAACCTAATGGCTGACCTACATACCTTCCTGTTAAAGAAATCATGTACCATTTTATTTTATCAATTTGCTCTAAAAATATTGTGCTTTAAGTAATCGATCTCTGCTTAACCTTTTACAGCGGAAGTTCAGAGTGAAATAGAAAGGATTTTTGAACTTGCAAGAACATTGCAACTGGTAGTTCTTGATGCAGACACTATTAATCATCCAGCTCAACTCAGTAAAACCTCTTTGGCCCCTATTATAGTTTATGTAAAGATTTCTTCTCCTAAGGTAAGTGGGCTTGCTGTTTGCTCTATAATCCAAGTTTGCCAAAACGTTTATGTTATTTTGCAGTTACAACAGGCTACATCTTTATCCATCATAGAGAGTTTGAAGAGATGTTTGTCAATTTTTAAGATTCATAAGAAGCCAAGCATGATTATTAGTTTCATGGCTTAGAACAGATGATTCTCAAAGTGTGGTAAAATCCTGGGGGTCTTAATACACTTTCAGAGAGTTCACAAGGTCAAAACTATTTCCATAATAATACTAAACACCATTCACCCTTTTTGCACTTTTGATGATGGCGCAAAAGCAATAGTAGATAAAACTGCATGTGTCTAAGCATGAATTAAAATTAGGGTACCAGACAATACTAGCAATTAAAAAAAAACAAAAACAAAATAACCAGTTTCACTTAATTTTATTAAATACTAGAGGCCCAGTGCATGAAATTTGTGCATGAGGGAAGAGGTTCCCCTCAGCGAAGCTTGCACCCTCTCAAATCGGGGTCCCCTTGGGGATGTCTGACTGCCAATACCTGTGGGATCGGGCCTAAACTGGCAGTCAGACATCCTTCTCGCAATCTGGGACCACTGGCTCCTAACTACTCACCTGCCTGTCTGCCTGCCCGATCACCCCTAACTGCCTCTGCCTGCCTTCCTGATCACCCCTAACTGCTCTCCCCTGCTGGTCTAGTTTCCCCCAACTGCCCTCCTCTGCTGACCTTATCATCTCCAACTGCCTCTGCCTCAGCCCCTACCACCATAGCTTTGTCCAGAAGGTAGTTGCACGTCCAGAGATGGCCAGTTGACCCAGTCTAATTAGCATATTATCCTTTTATTAGCATAGATATATTATATAGGATAGGATTGCTTAAATGGGGGGAAAAGCCTTTTTCAGCAGGAGGAGATGCTCTTGGCAGATAAAAATACATAATATCGATACATATATCTGGACTGATAGCCAGCCATATGCACTATATTGCCGAACAGGTTATTAAAAAATTGAACAGCTTTCTTACAACTTACACCAAACAGCTGTTGTCCTTAAAACCCCTCCTCAGCCCCCACGTTAGGTTCTGCCTTCACAGTTCACCCAGATTAGGTCCTGACTGGTCAGTTTCTATGCCAGTCAGCATCAAAAGCTCCACCTCCTGGGCAGCCAATGGCTCCTCACAGTCACCCAGATTTGTTTCTGATTGGTGAATTTCTATGCCAGTCAGCGTCTCCAGGCCTATTTCTGGGCCTGATCTGTAGCTGCCATGGCAGCTGCATTTCAAGTCCTGCTTCTCTCTCCAGGCCTCACCAGCAGCCTCAGTGGCTGCTGATCAGGCCCCCTGTCTCTCTCTCCGGGCCTGACTCATAACTGATGTGGCAGCGCAAGGTCATTCATTAGGCCTCCAGCCCAGCCCCTGCCAGAGGCTAAAGACCTTGATGTGCCTGCCTTGCCCCGCTCCCCTCTCCCCTGCCTGCCCACCAGCCTTGTTGTAATAGGAGCCTGTGGGCTGTGGAGGAGGGACCTAGAGGTGCTGCATGCACTTCCTGATGACCTGTTGCCTGTTGTCCGTCTGGTCTTTAGGTTGTGATGCCCCCTAGCCTTTTATAATGTAGATTATTAGTAATAAAATAGGAAGTACACAAGAGCTGCATATAGCCAAGTAGGTTAGTTATCTCAAGGACCTGCATTGGTATAATTATTTGATTTGTGAACTAACTAGCCACTTTATTCATAGCATACCATTTTTATATGAAAGGAAAAACTGACAGGTTATGCTTACTCAGACTTGGGTATCACATCAAAGAAAATAGCTAATAGCCTTTGTTACCAATGATAAAACTGAAGGTTTCAAAGAAAATGCTGAATTTTGGAAAACTTGTATCCACTTTTGAGAGCTTGGCAGCTTCCTAATAGACAAAGACTTTTCTAATGAGATCAATAATAATAATTAACAGATAGGTTTTAATCTTGTATAATGAATTGTGTCAACATTTGGAAGATCTGAAGAACTCAGTGAACCATTATTTTCCAAATGATCAATGAATGATGCTACAAATTATGCATGCTAAAGACCCATTCAAATTCCAAGATAGGCCAATGAAATTTATGAAACAGAGTAAGAAAAGTTCGTTGATATTGTTTCATGTTTCACATAGCAGCTAATCTCTAAGAAACTAGTATTTCCACACTATAAGGAATATCCATAATTATATCAACTACATATTTTTAGGAGGAAGGGAATCCTTCACACATATGCTCAGACTGGTAGGTTAGCTTCCTGCTGGGGTCTGGCTGATGGGAACTGGGTGAGACAGGCCAGACACGCCCTGGAGTCCTCCCGCAGTCCCTCCCTGGCCCCCATCATGCACTAGTGGGGTCTGAAGATCTGGCCTGTGCCCTCTTTCAATCCAGGACCTCATGGAGGAGTCCACAGGCCAGGCCAAGGGACCCCACTGGTGCACAAATCTGTGCACCAGGCCTTTAGTAGGTCACATAAAGAAACTTTTTGGCCCTAGCCAGTTTTGCTCAGTGGATAGAGCTTCAGCCTGTGGACTGAAGGGTCCCGAGTTCGATTCCTATTAAGGGCATGTGCTTGGGTTATGGGCTCAATTCTCAGCAGGGGGTATGCAGAAAGCAGCCCATCAATGATTCTCTCATCATTGATGTTTCTCTCTCTCCCTCTCCCTTCCTCTTTGAAGTCAATAAAAAAGTATACTTTTTGGGTTTCTCAAGAACTGTTTAAAACAAAGGAGTCATAAGACAAAAAGTTTGATAACTGCTAGCCTTGAAAAAGGACTCAGAATAAGCTTTGAAGATTTATATGAACATATCAATTTTGCAGGTAATCTTCATAGCTCAATTTATTATAAGCCACTTGCACTGTATATAAGTTTCCAGAGAAAGGAGTGGTGAATCTTGTCATGGATCTGAGTGCAAATAGCCCTCTGTTTAAAAATCTTATCTTTTACAGGTTTTACAAAGGTTAATAAAATCTCGAGGAAAATCTCAAGCTAAACACCTCAATGTCCAGATGGTTGCAGCTGATAAACTGTCTCAGTGTCCTCCAGTAAGTCCTCTTTATATACACTGTAATCCAGATGAAGAGATCAGATCTGGCATTACATTAAAAAACAAAAAGCAGACAGTGACAGGCCTGTTGGGGGAAAGAATCCTCACCACTTAGCAGTGAGCATCATTCTAAAGAAGTGAACGGTCCTACTTCCTGCCATGAACACTTGCCCCGATCATGGCTTACAAAAAGCTATGGCAAGTTCTGTGGTCACCTCACTTTGTAAATAACACCTCATTTGTATCTTAAATGAACAAGATGTTGACTTCAAAAACTTGGTCTATAAGATTACCTATTTGGAGTTAACCCTACTAACTATAGAGATTGACTTGCTGCCTCTTCAATAGCTCTCTGAAATATTGATTTAAGACTGTAAAAACAAACGTCTAAACAATCAGTCACCCAGATTCTGACATCTGAATACAGTCTATTTCTAATTCATGCTTTACATACCCTGCCAGGGATTTACAGATGGCTTTTAAGTTGTTTTTTAAGTGCAAGTATTTCAGAAGCTCCAAAAATCAGGACTATATCCATTTTGATTGCTTGGAGTATGTTAAAATTTATGATAACCAATTTTTGAAGTTTGGGCCATGTCAAATCATCAGTGGTTTCAGTTTCTTCTGCCAAACTTCATGTCCTTATCTTTCCTCATTAATTTTCAGGGTTAAACTTTTCAGTCTATGTCAAACAGGTTTCTTCCTGTACTATTCAGATTATATTATTTTCTTTTTATATATCTTTCTACCATATTATCAATTCCTGTTTTTACTACTGACAATTTTTCCATCATGCCCTTTAACAACTACTATTACACCTGTTCACTTCCTGGTCATTGCTGCTGGTTAAGCATCCAATATTCTAAAATGACATAATCTGACTAAACAGGACAGTCAGCAGATGGAAAAGGGAAAGGAGCACATAAGCCACAGCACATACAAAGCAGTGCAGCTCATGAGCCCCTCCCTCCTTCTATGAGGCTGGGGTAGGGTTGTGAAACTCCAGTCAGTACTGGGGTGGTATAAGTGTGCTCTCTGACATGTTTGCCTCTGCAGGAGTTGTTTGATGTGATCTTGGATGAGAACCAGCTCGAGGATGCTTGTGAGCACCTTGCCGACTACCTGGAAGCCTACTGGAAGGCGACCCACCCTCCCAGCAGCAGTCTCCCCAACCCTCTCCTTAGCCGCACTTTAGCCACTTCAGCACTGCCTGTTAGCCCCACTGCAGCCTCTAATTCACAGGTGAGAGGACTTCTTCACCGTGTTCGTTGAGAAGCCAGGCTGCCTAAGGTCACAGTGCTGGGGTCCAAGCCCAGATACCCAGGGCAGTGCTTGTGCCAGTAGAGTGGCTCTATCCAAACTGAGACACTGAGCCATTTAGACATCTTCAGTGTAAGTGGTGTAGCTAAGAAAAGCAGGTCAAACACAATATACTATGAAGATATACAGACTTTAGAACTCTCTGCTACATCTTAGGACAGGGATAGAAGAACTTTCTATACAGCAGCAAAGACAGTGGAAGCAGAATGCCAGCTGCAAGGCTGGGCTCCACCTCTTACCAAGCACATAACCGTGAATAAGTTCCTTATCTGTTTTTTTCCCTGAGATGCCTCTGGAATTATTGGCAACCTATCCCAGGGTTATTGCATTAATGACTTAATTATTAATTAATGGGGCTGCTAAAACTGCTTGTCTCATAGTTCGTGACATTTAAGCATTTCATTTTTTATCTCCTTAATCCTTACCTTAAGCCAAAGCCAACATCCTAAAACATCTTAATCTTCCTGCATGTATTCAGACGAGGTAGTTAAGTATACACCCATGTGTAGAAAAATCTTAGGTACCTATATCTGTATTTAAACCGCAAAAGACATATAAAATGCCCTCCCTCGTTTAATCATTTAAATAAAAATATTACTCTGTGTACTGTTCTAGACACTTACAAATTGACAAAGTCCAGTATGATATAGTATAAACCTTATAAATGCCACTAGACATCATTAAAAGAATTAGGTAACTTAGCAAGGGGAGATTTCATTTCAGCATTGTAGATCCTTAAAAGCAACTAAACTTGAACAGACCTGCCTTGTGATGCCTTAGTCCCTCACACTCTGACCAAAGCTGATGCCTGTGTTTTCTCCCTCCGACACCAGGGTTCTCAAGGCGATCAGAGGACTGACCGCTCTGCTCTCGCCCGCTCTGCCCCCCAAGCTGAAGAAGAACCTTGCCTGGAACCAGCCAGGAAATCCCAGCACCGGCCTTCCTCCTCAGCCCTGCACCACAACCATCGTAGTGGGACAAATCGAGGCCTGTCCAGGCAGGAGACATTTGACTCAGAAACCCTGGAGAGTCGAGACTCTGCCTATGTGGAGCCAAAGGAAGATTACTCCCATGAGCATGTGGACCACTACGCCCTACACCGTGACCACAACCACAGGGAGGAGCCCCATGGGAGTGGTGAGCACAGGCACAGGGAGTCTCGGCACCGGGCCAGGGACCTGGATCGAGAGCAGGACCACAACGAATGCAACAAACAACGAAGTCGTCATAAATCCAAGGATCGCTACTGTGACAAGGATGGAGAAGGAATATCCAAAAAAAGGAATGAGGCTGGGGAGTGGAACAGGGATGTTTACATCCGCCAATAACTTTGGTCTGTTTGTGTTTTTGGATTTTTTTAAGTCTTGTATAACAGCACCCTCAATCTAAATCTTTGGGGTAGACATTGCAATCATATGTGATCTGTCGTGTATATTTTGTATTGCTGTTGCTTAAATAGCAATAGTATGACAGAGTATTAATATACTTTTTTTCTTTTCTAAGTGCTATATAAATTTGCCTGGTACGGCTGCAGTCCTCTGATTGTGTACTGGACTTTTCAAAAACTGTTTGGGGTAGCTGCCACTTGAACAAATTGTTGCCATCCAGGGGGCATTAGTATTTTAAGAAATGTGGTGGATGTTTTAAAAAATATAGTTGACATCTCCAGAAAGCCAGAATTGGCTCAGATAAAAAGTGGAATATCTTGATTCTCCAGATTTTTAAAATGTAGGCACCTGATATGTATATTCATTCATCCATGGACCACTGTTTCTTGCTTGTACCTCTGGCTGACTAAATTTGGAGACAGATTCAGTCTTGCCTTATACAAAGGGGATCATAAAGTTAGAATATATTTTCTATGTACTAGTACTGTGTACTGTATAGACAGTTTGTAAATGTTATTTCTGCAAATACCTTCTTATAATTATATATAAATATATATATATATATATATATATATATATATATGAGTTTGATCACACTATTTTAGTCTTAATGCCAAGTCAGCAGATTTGCTTTATGAAGTACAGGGACTAGAATTGCCCACATTCAGGAAATTTGTAATAACATTGTGTAGGCACCTATTTCCATTCTAGCAGAAAGTCTGTACATACTGTAAATATGTGTGATTGCTTGACTTGAAAAGGTTTAATTTCTGAATGTTTTACCATCCCTGTAAGTTTATAATTTTGACCATAAATTATGATAAATATAATCAAACTCCAAAGGTTGTTCTAATCCATGCAGCTCACACTGATTGTGACACACATTCTTAGTAGCTAGTGTCTCATGTCACTGCACTGGAGTCTACAAGCCGGAACTCTGTATGCACGTGTGTGTGCGTCTGTGTGTAAGAGTATGTGCGAGTGGTTGGTTGAGATGAATCTGAATGCAGAAGACTAATAAGGAAACTAGAGACTGGTATCTAGAATCCTACCCACCTGGCTTTGAGCTGAATTGTGCTGCATGACGCTGTAATGATCCATTGAGCAGGCAGGGAGCATGCTGCCAAAGGTGACTGGGAAAGCGTTCTGTTGGCTCCTTGTTTTTGCTCCTATAGAGCAAAAAATACAGGCAACTTTTAACTGTGAGTGTTTCACTGGAAATGTACAATCTTTGTGTGTTCGAGTACTTGTTATAGTAAGAAACGTTTACACAGCTTGTAGAATTATTTCGTGGGAAAATAAATTTTTCTAACTTCTCCCACTTTCTTTCCTAACCCTGCTTATTGTTCTGTTATCTCCCAATATACCTATCATTCCATCCCCACCACAAACTCAAAGAGTTTCACTGTCTGTCAAAACCTAGAAGTGCTTCTTATAACCAAAGTTTCTGCTCTTCAGAAGTAATCAGGGCAAATGGGATGACTTGAAGTGAACAAAATGGTCAGAGCATTTTCCTACATCAGACATCTATGAAGGGGAAACTAGAAGATATTATCTCAATGATGCTGTTGTGAGCAACTCACAATGTGGTTGTCATGTTAAGGCTAAACCTCTATGTCTCCTAAGTGTCATTTTGTCCAGTTATGACTGGACCATGAGATAGTATTTGGTGTACCTGAAATTTGTCCCTGGAGAATGCCTCTCTATAATTGCCTGACTGCAGATTTGTACATTATATAATTATGATTTATTAAGTAAGTTAATCTATTTTTGTTTTGTTTTTATTATTTCAAGTTCTTGCCAAATATTACTGGACCTTTATAAATAAAATGTTTCACATTTAACTCCTTACTTTCCCTACTCCCAAAGAAACTCAATTTTAAAAATCAGTTACATATATAGTGTTTTATCAGCTAATATGAAACATTTCCCTCAGAATCAGTGTATTGTTAATATTGTTAAGCTCCATACTGTTGCAATGAATTTATTGACTACAAAAACTGTAGTCATAATATATAAATTGATGCAAAGTAGTCACATCATTGGAAAATCAAATTCCAATTAAAATACTTTTATAAAATATTTCTGATAAACTTTCCATCACGGTAAGATGCTGCTGATCACCAGCCTCATTCTTTGCTACACATAATTTCATCCCAATAATAACTTTAGAACATTTAAATTCTTGAAGTATAACTACTATGTATCTAACCTGCTGCTACCATTAATCCCTTTCAAAAGTCCTGATAATGGATTCCATTTTTAAAATTCTATATCTGGATTCTTGGGATTTTTTTAACTTTATTGTGTAATATGTTAGTCCAAATCAGAGTATTTCTCAAAAACTATATTGCAGGATTTGAGATAAGAGTATCTATACATGAAAACTGTATAGTGAACATATCTGTAAACAGTCTGTACTAAATTTGTAAATGAAGAAATAATCCCAGACAATTTACTGGCTTGTGGAATATAAAATTATAGTATTCACAGAGCAAAAGCTTAACCTTAACTTAGTTGTAGAATCATGATTTTTTAGTCTACCTAGAAAATGCTGGAAATGTTCTTAATAGTTCTACTCTGTTTTTTGTCAAACCCATTTCAGTTTTACTATGCTCTTTCTCTACTGCTCGTTTAAGTTACTGTTACAAAAAGGTGCTGCTAAATGTAGGGTGTATTAGTCATAATGTACTTTGGGACAATGCCACATTTTTAACACGGTCTGCTCTGCATTCCTGTTAAACATTTGCTGTCAGCTACACTGACGAACTGTTCAACAAACCTGATTTAAAGAAATTTATCTAAAACAAATAAAGAGCTGGCTTTTGCACTGTTTATTATTAGTAGCATCAATTATGATTTGAGGAATGATTCTGACAGTTGAGAATATATTAAATATTCAACAATTCCCACTTGTGGAGCATTTTCCTTGGGACAATGCCAATCACTGGTATTACTTTAGTGACCTTCCCCTGATATCTGACAAAATAATAGCTTAAGGTAGGTAAAGGATCTTTTAAGATATGAGCACAGCAAAATAATTCTCCTTAGTAATTAATAATAATTCTCCTCCACCTTAATTCTACATGTGTAGCAATTCAGACTTTGAATTTTACTATTCCTTCATTTTTAAATGAAGATCTATTTTGATGACAAATTTAATTCCTCCTCCTTGCTCAATGAGGTAATGCTGCTAGTCTCAGATATTCTGATCTTACTGAAACTTTAAGTCACACTGTTAGAGAAAAAGATTACATGGTTTTGGATCAGTTGTTTCATTCAAGCTAAATTATATTTTTAACTACTTGTATTTCTCTTTGCTGTTTAAACTAAAATGTGATAAAGAGTTTTGAAGTAAAATGTACTCACTGTTGAATTAAATGCTTTTTCTGTTTTACAGTTATGTCAACACTAAGTAGGCTGAAAGATAATATATCAATTTCTTCCACATTTTCCTGATCTTTTCCCTTTTTATTGTATTTATTTGTCCTTTTAAGACTGAATGTGTTTCATTTTTCAATTTGCTTTATTTTTTTGAAGGAAAGAAATCACTGAAAATGTGTATGTTAAAGGAAATACTTTTAAGAATTTAACTTATTTGTCCTGTTTTCAATATGCAAATATTTTTCTTCTATTTTGCCCACACTGCTTATATTTTGCTATTTATCAGTATTAACCAAAATTTATACATTTGCTGCTACCATTTTCATCCCTGCTTAACACATAAGGCTTGGTAGAGAACATGAGAGAAAATGATTTTGTGGATTAAAACAAAATATATTTAAAATTTGGAGAGGTGTACTGATTCCTAGAAACAGAAGTGCCACAGGTAAACACTATTTTTCTTTAGTCAAATGGCATCTATTAGATATAAGGCATACTGAAGGATATAAACAAGTCAAATATTTGAATCTTTGGAGCTTGAAATACAATATTTTTCCCCTTAGTCCACATGTGTCAAACACAAGGCCCGCGGGCCAAATCCGTCCCGCCAGGCCTTGCAATGTGGCCCGCACCTCGCTGTCATCACTGCACTCTGCTGCGTTTCCATCACAATGACAGTTTATGACTGTTCAGTAAACCATTCGGCCCGCGATTTAGGCTGGATTTTAGATTTTCGCCCCTTCTCTGATTGAGTTCGACACCCCTACCTTAGTCAATAAGCATCTGTTGGCAACCTGTTAAGAAGCAGTGACAGAAAACACAGGGTCCCTGCCTCCAAAGTCTCCCCAAGTCTGAAGCTAGTAGTGAGGAACATGCCTAGAAAGCTAGAGTATTCTCAAAGTGCCACAACAGCAGTAAATATGGCCCCTAGGTATATAAAAAGACAAATGACTACCTCAAACTCAGGGAAGGGTATTCAAGAAAGGCTTCTTCAGAAATGAGGCCAATGAAAGGTCTTACCTGATCCAGGAGGCCTTGCAATTTCGATGGGTATGATAGTTACGAGACATTCCTAGCAGAAACCTATGGAGGGGAGAAAGAAACTATTAGGTAATTGTTTCCAACTCTCCACTTACATGCCCAAGGCTCAGGAATTTGGGGATGATTTGATAAGTGTAAACAAAAACACGTATATAACTATATATGACAGCTTTTAACTAGGGCTGAATGTTTAAATATATCTCGTCTAAAAAAAAAAAAAAACCATGTTAAGATGAAGCAAGAATAAGTTTATCATTAAATTTTTTTAAGCAGTCACTTACATCGGCCACTATAGGGGATGATCAATTTTGCAGTTTAGATCAGTGTCGTCAACCTTTCGGACCTCATGGTCCAGCCGTGGTCTATGGCACTGGCTGGTGACTTCTGGTTTAGATGATGCTCTTGCTTTTACCTAAATTCAGATTTGATTTTGTATCTTTTTGTATCTTGATGTGTCATAGTCATAATAGCCTTACCTGATGGTGTTCTGGGAAATTATGTCCAGTAGGAGGACACCAAGGCCTTCCTGTAAATGCCAGGCCAGTTCCTAGTTGTCAGAAGTTGGCTTTCTCTTTCTCACTAATCACGTCTTCATTAACTATTACAGCATGTGTTTCAACAAATTATAAAAGGTTCTGACATTGCAGAATATTCTCATTTTTTTAACCTACAAAGTGAAGAAAAGATTCATCTGACTTTTTAGTCAGATCATGGGGGAGGGGAAAAAGTAAACAGTAAAGGCAAACTCTTACATACAAGACATCCAGACTTTATTTGAAAAAGGGTTTATTTATCAAATAGTAAGCAGAGAAAGAGGTAAAATATTTAGCTCAGTCATTAGCACATGGTAAATGTCATACCTCCTATGCCCTGAATTCTTAAGAAACTACTTAATTAGGAACTCAGGAATAAAAAATAATATACTTTATAACCAAATTAAAAATTGCTAATTTTTTTCCTTGTTAGATTCATTGATTGCCATTAAAAATGAAAACATATGACTCCAAATAAACATGTTTCAGACATCTATAGGCATCTCCTTTTCTTTATACTCTGCTAAATCCAAAAGGGAAGATTACTCACAAATTACAAAATATAATCTCATATCTCTCTCCTTCCCCCACCCTTTATTTCCTCCGTGTCTCTTGATCACTGGTGAAACAGCTGGCAGCCTTTTCTGTTTCCTTAGCAACCACATCATCAACCACTTGGCCCAACAATAAATTGGTCTTTAAATTAAAACACACGAACAACAGAGCATATGTTTGGAATTTTCATTTCTAAGGATCCTTCTCCTCCATACTTTTGCATTTTACAAATTTTGCAATGAAAAAACCTATACAATCCTTATTTGCCAGCCAAATCATGTCTTCTACTCTGGCTTCTTTGAAAGAATCAATGTCCATGTCCTGTAACGGCACAACAGATGGATCAAATCGTTGCAGCTGGTTCAATTGTTCAAATGACAAGCCAGCTCCCAGCATTCCTTGTCCTCCAATGTGTGGTTCCTATTTGGAGGAAATAAATAAAAATATACATGAACACTCTACAATTAGCAAGTATAGGTACCTGTGCACAATTTAAAAGACAAATTCAGCTGTATTATCACAAGTTACTAAAATAGAAAATTGAGTAAAAACCTTTTATTTTTGTAGAATATACTGTTTTTCCAGGTAGTGAAATGGGGAAGCATATGGTCACATGAAGAATAAATATTAAAACTTTGCTTATCAAACATCATGACATCTCAAAGGATCTGAGCTTCATAGTTACAAATACAAATGATAGCCCTGCCACATTTTAGCTATGTGACCTTAAGCAAGTAACTTTACCTAATCGTTCCCTCATCTTATAAAACATAAAATACTCAGATACTCAGAGGCTTAAAGAAGGTGCTATCATGCCTGGCATGTAGTGGCATATAGTGTCTGTCACACAGAGATATATGGTCCTTAATAAATAAAACATTATATATATAAATTCATGCACGGGGGTGGGAGGGGTGTCCCTCAGCCTAGCCTGCACCCTCTCCAAACTGGAACATCCCTCCTACAACCCAGGACTGCTAGCTCCCAACTGCTCGCCTGCCTGCCTTCCTGATTGCCCCTAACAGCTTCTGCCTGCCAGCCTGACTGATGCCTAACTGCTCCCCTGCCAACCTGATTGCCCCTAACTTCCCTCCTCTGCTGGCCTGGTTACCCCTAACTGCCCTCCCCTGCAGGGTTGATCATCCCCAACTGCCCTCCCTTGCAGGCCTGGTCCCTCCCAACTGCCCTTGCCTGCTGGCCATCTTGTGGTGGCCATCTTGTGTCCACATGGGGGCAGGATCTTTGAAGACATGAGGGCAGCTATCTTGAACTTGTGTGTTGGAGCGATGGTCAATCTGCATCTTACTCTTTTATTAGATAGGATAGAGGCCTGGTGCATGGGTGGGGTTAGCTGGTTTGCCCTGAAGAGTGTCCTGGATCAGGGTGGGAATTCTCTTGGGGGTGGGGCAGCCTGGGTGAGAGGCCTGTGGTGGTTTGCAGGGCAACCCAAGCAGAGGTCCTGGTATCTGGAATTTATTTACCTTCTGAAATTGAATGGAGTCAAGCCTTCTGCTTGCTCTCTGGCTGCCACTATTCTGTTTGGATTTGTTTACCTTCTATAATTGAAACTTTGTAGCCTTGAGTGGAGGCTTAAGCTAGCTAGGGCAGGCAGAAAGCTTGGCTTCTTCCATTGCCTGGGAAACCCAAGCCTCCCTCCTGCTCTCTGTGGTCACAGCCATCTTGGTTGGGGTTAATTTGCATACTTGCTCTGATTGGCTGGTGGTTTTGGCTTATGGGTGTAGTGAAGGTATGGTCAATTTGCATATTACTCTTTTAATAGATAAGAAAAGTCAAGTGACCAGAACGCCAGAATGACTGGAACAACCACAACAACCAGAAAGACCAGTTGCTATGACAGGTACTTTGGCCGGCCAATCAGCCTGATTGGGGGATGGCCCCTCTCCCTGGCCGGCCACACCTTTGATCCTCCCCCCTCACCCTGATCAGGGGTGGGGCTGAACAGCCAGCCTCCCATGTCCTCTCCCGCAGGCAGGCCTGGCCTGATTGTCTCCCATTAGGGCGGGCCAGCCAAACCTCACCTGTGCACAAATTTGTGCACCAGGCCTCTTGTTATCAATCACAGCAATAGATAAAATTCAGCTTTATGTATGAGACTTCCCCAAACTGAGTTCCTAAAGATACCTCTCTCTGACCCATTCCAACTGGATAAGTTTTTGCTGTTTTTAAATGCACTAGAATATAAAAAAGAGATCAACTGAGGCAGCACCAATCAGTTTAGAGGAATAAAGAATCTTAAGGAATTGAGTGATACGTACTTGCAAACAACTACTGTGAAAGACACATAATCCTAATTTAAATCTCCATTTCACAGACAAATGTTTGTGTTACTGAATATATATTTTCTTAGTTGTATGCCTGAAAACCTGTATTTATTAACCTATGGGGGAGAGGAGTGGATAGAGTCTCTCCTTTAATTATACATTAACTGATACACACAAAATTTCATGTGAATTCTGAAGTCTTCCTTTCATTTACAATGTAATTATCTTAATTTCTGCATCCAGAAACCATCTCTGGATTGCTTTTTACTTATGTATTCCAATTACCTCCCAGAATTCTATACGAAAGGCATTAAAGTTACATGTTCAATGATCTAAATGCATATAAGCATTATTACAGATTTAAGCTTAATCTCAAACATCATGGACTAAAAACCTAGTTATAAACATATTTTCAATAAAAATCATAACAGGAACATGGTTTTAGGTAAAATGAAGTACAAGAAAGCTTTCTAAAAACTATATGCCGGTAATTTACATGAGAAACAAAAGAAGCAATAATCCTGAACCATTACCCCACTTTGATTAGTCTTTTGATATTCTAGTTATTTTAAAGCCTGTTTGGGCTTTGATGTGATATGGGGGGAAACTGCTCAAAATTTTCCTCATTTGAAAAATCCAGAATGGGGAAGAACTTGGAAACAAAATCCTTAGCAACATGAACAAAAACCATAAGTGAAAGAAAAATCTAACAAGAACATACCTGGGCTCTGTGGCACTTATTAACACAATGGCAAGGGATGAACACAAGGAAAAACTTTGTCAAGATGTAAATTCTCTATGAGCAGTCTAAATGGATTTAATGAAACATTTTTATTTACGACAGTATTTGTTTCAGAAGTTTTACCTGACAAATAGCCTGTGTTGATTCCTGCACTTAAGTTTCTATGATGGGAATTATTCTTACCTGGGGCTGAAGCTGAAGGCAAGGAAATGCTGTGAGGGCCCAGGCCACTTGTTCCTCATTCTCTGCCAGCGTAATGGTGCAGGTGCTATAAACAAGCACGCCCCCTGGCCTCAGCAGCTTCACTGCCTACAGAAAAATGGGATCAGACTAAATACATGTACCACCAGGCTAAATAAACATAGTAAGGAATTTTACATCTATGTAATATCTTTCAAATATTTGGGATAAATAGAGTGATGTTCTCTATGACCAGGATTCTATCATAGATATTCCAGACAAATATATTTTCTAGAGACCCGGTGCAAGAATTTTGTGCAGGTGGGAGAGGGTGTCCCTCAGCCAGCCTGATTGATCCCTAACTTCTCCCCTACCAACCTGATTGCCCATAACTGCCCTCCCCTGCAGGCCTGGTCACCCCTAACTTCCCTTCCCTGCAGGCCCAGATGCTCCAACTTCCCTCCTCTGCCAGCCAGGTCACCCCTAACTTCCCTCCCCTGCAGGCTTGATTGCCCCCAACTGCCTTCCCTTGCAGGCCTGGTCCCTCCCAACTGCCCTAGCCTGTTGGCCATCTTGTGGTGGCCATCTTTGACCACATGGGGCAGCCATCTTGTGTGTTGGAGTGACAGTCAATTTGCATATTACTCTTTTATTAGATAGGATTATCTTGGAGTCATTTGGGCCAAGACTCCCAAATTGGGTCATTTGATTCCATAACTTTAGTTATCAAATTTATATTTTTAGGCCAGTTTTCCTGCTAAATTCCATACTAATATAATGAATTTGATTGCCTTCTCAGTATTTCTATTATGAAATTTGATATGTCCCAAAGTGAACTTCTATCTTCTCTTTGAAACCTACTGGAGATGTATTCCTATCATTCCAAATGTTCAAGTCCCAAATCTTAGATTATCCTTTATCACATTCCTTTCTCACATTCCCAATATATCAGCAAATCCTATTGTCTCTACTTTCAAAATATACACAGAATTTAGCTACGTCTCACCACTTCCATGGCTATCATTCAGATCCAAGTCTCATGGTCATTGCCTGGATCACTGCAAGTCTCCTACTTAGTCCACTTCTTCCCCTTACTATTCTACAATTTATTATCAGTATGGTAATCAGAGCACTATAATACTTTCATGACTTACCACTCCTCAGCTCAGAGCCCTTCAAGTGCCCTCCATTATCACCTAGAGTCAAAGCCCAAGTCCTGAAAGTGACTGTCAATACCCTACACAAAGCAGGCTACTTGCTGCCTCTCTGACCTTGCCTTGACACCTCCTCACTCTGCTTTAGCAACACTGGCCTCTGCTGCTCTGGAATATTCATGGCACACTCCCCCCTATCCCTCCAGGACCTATGCACAAGCTTGGAAATCTCTCCTAATTCTCCTCATTGCTTGCTCTTAACAATTTTCTTATCTCTACTTACATGTCACCTTTCTAGCAATACCCACACTGACCACCCTATGTAAAATTGCAATTATTTCCAGCACTCCTCTTCTCCCTTTATTTCTAATAACTTACTCATCTATGGCTCATTTTCCTATCCAATCAGAATAGAAACCTCAAAAATAAGGGCAGAAACTATTTTATCACTATTGCATTATCAGCACCTAGAATAATATATTACATAAAATAAGTGCTCAATAAATAATTCCAATAAATAAATGAATCAGGAAATAATGTGTTAAACAAAAATAAATTTGTTCCAAATAATTAAAATTTAATGTTTTTAAAATTTTAATGAAAATATTTCAAACTATAACTGAGTGGCCAGATTATTATGATCTCTGAAGGCATAATAATCTAGCTACTTGGTGTGTGTATGTGTGTGTGTGTGTGTGTGTGTGTGTGTGTGTGTAATGTATACTTATGCTTTTAAATCAGAGTACAGTAGGTCCTTGGATTATATCAGAGATCTGTTCCTATAGTGTAATATAATGCAATTTTTGCCATAAGTCAGAAACCACCTACATAAGCACTACGTAACTCACATGGAGCACATGCACAACAGTAATGAAGTGAAACAGTAAAAAAAAAATAAAAGATAACAATTCCTAACCTTTATTTGTGGAAAATACAGTAAATAATAAAAGGCATAAAGCACATATGTACATATGTCGAAATGATGAAACTTACTTTTCTATAAAGAATTAAATATATGCACGGGGATCCCCTCAGCCCAGCCTGGACCCTCTCCAATCCAGGACCCCTCGGGGAATGTCTGTCTGCCAGATATCCCTCTCACAATCTGGGACCTGTCTGCCTGCCTGATTGCCCCCAACTTCCCCCACCTTTGTGGCCTGGTCACCCCAAATGCCCCCCCTGCCAGCACAATAGCTCCTAACTGCCCCTCCCCCCCCTCCGCTGGCCTAGTTGCCCATAACTATCCCCCTGTTGGCCTGGTTGCTCCTTACTGCCCCCCATACCAGCCTGGTCACCCCCAACTACCCATCCCCCCTGGCCTGGTCGCCCCTTACTGCCTGCCATGCTGGCCTGGTCACCCCTAACTGCCCTCCTTCCACTGGCCTGGTCACTCCTCACTGGCCCCCTCTATCAGCATAGTTGCCTCTCACTGCCCCCCCCATGCTGGCCTGGTCACCTCCAATTGCCCCCCTTGCTGGCCTGGTCGCCCCATGCAGCCTGCTGCTCAGTCGTTTAGTCATCCTTCACTGACCCCCTTGCTGCCTAATCGCCCTACACAACCTGTTCGGTCGTCCATTTGGTAGCGATAGTCGCTTAGGCTTTTATATATAGATAGATAGATAGATAGATAGATAGATAGATAGATATAGATATAGATAGATAGATATAGATATAGATATAGATATATAGATATATAGATATATAGATATATAGATAGATATATATATATATGGGAGATGGCAACATAAACACAAAACAATGCATGTCGAGTCCAACATAACCAAAGGACTGTCTATATGCTGATCAAAATTTAAATTTTGTTACTGTGGGCCAGCTATTGTTTTAAGCAACTTACATGGGTTTTCTCAATAAATCTTTTTAACAAATATGACTTATAGTTATGGTTACTCTCTTCTCTGATGTAAATTAGGTAGAGTTATTACCTTCATTTCTCAGATATTGAATCAATGTACCCAAAGTCACTTATGGAGAGGATGTATGACTCTAATCAAGATTTATCTGATTCTGGCATTTCTCAAGAAACAAGAAAATTCTCAAATGAGCAATCAAGCCTTACAGCTAAAGAAACTAAAAAAGAAGAAGAAGAAATAAGCCTAAGGCAAGTAAAAGGAAAATAATAATAAAGTTGAGGGCAGAAATAAAATACAATCTAAAAGAAAACAACAGGAAATATAAATTAAACCAAGAGCTGGTACTTTGAAAAGATAAACAATATACACTGAGTGGCCAGATTATTATAATCTCTGAACGCATAATAATCTGGCCACTTAGTGTATTTTATATAATAAAATGGTAATATGCAAATTCTCCACTTGACCAGGAGTTTGACCAGCAGGCAGGCCAGCCAATTGCCAATCTCCCCTCCCCCTGGCCAGGCTGGCCGGACCCCACCCATGCACGAATTGATGCACCTGGCCTTCAATATATATATATATAGCCAGATTATTATGCATTCAGAGATTATAATAATCTGGCCACTCAGTGTATATATAGCTTTAGCCAGACTCATGAAAAAATAAAAAATAAAAATAAAAAAAGAGAGAGCCCAAATAAATAGAATCACAAAAGAAAGAGAAGTCACACTAATACCACAGAAATACAAAGAATTACTGTATATGCCAATAAACGGGACAACCTGAGGGAAAAAAATAGATAAATTCCTAAAACAATACAATCTCCCATGACTGAATTAAAAAAAAATAAAAGAAAACCTGAACAAACCAATAAATAAAATAATCAAATAAGTAATAATGATAATAATAAAAAAACTCCCAATGCAAAAAATCCCTGGAGCATGACTTTCATAGTTGAATTTTAACAAATATCCCCCCCCCCAACAAAAAATACTTAGCCTTCTCAAACTATTCTAAAAAAACAAAAAAGGAAGACTTCCAAACTCATTTTATAAGATAAAATCAGTAAAAACATACTAAAAAAAAACACACACACAAAAAAAAACAACAACAACAACAAAGAAAACCTGGAAAACAATATGGAAGTTCCTCAAAAATTTTTAAATAGAACTACCATATGACTCAGCATTCTCACCTTTGAGTATAAATCCAAATCACTAATTTGAAAAGATATATGCATTGATATATTCACTGCAGCATTATTTACAACTAGAGGCCCAGTGCACGAATTTGTGCATGAGTGGGTTCCCTTGGCATGGCCTGTGTGATCAGGCCAAAAACGGCTCTCTGAGATCCTCAAAGGGGTCCTGGATTGCAAGAGGGCGTAGGCCAGGCTGATGGACCCCCACCAGTGCATGATTGGGGCTGGAGAGGGACAGGAGGATGGCCAGTCAGAGAAGGATCACAGGATGGCACCAGGGTATGTTCAGCCTGTCTCGCTCAGTCCTGTCTGGCCAGACCCCAGCAGCAAACTAACCTACTGGTCACAGCATCTTACCCCTCATGGTCAGTGCACATCAAAGCGAGTCTTAGCATATCACTAGCATATTATCCTTCGGTTGAATAGATAACCAGATGATTGGACACTTAGCATATTAGGCTTTTATTATATAGGACTAGTGACCTGGTGGATAAGATTCATGCACATTAAAAGGGAATTAATTAGAGGAAGTATTTTTAATATTGCTCTTTGCCCTTTCTCTATAATAGAAGTGTCAGAGATGAAAGGAAATTAGTAAAATGTTTATGAAAATCTTCATCCTGTTAAGAGTCTGGGGCAAACCATGGGAACCAGAGTTAATTCCCTGCCCAGCCATGGGCTTCTCAAAATTGTGAGAGACCCAGACCCGGCCGGCCCCACCCCTGTCAAGCCTCCCTGGGTGAGGGGTGTGGCCTCAGGTCACCTGGCCCAGCACCAGGGTGGAGGGCATGGGGGGGGCACATCCTGAGATCCCCCGTCAAGCCTCTCCATGCAAGGGGTGCAGCCTCACTGCTGGGCAATCATCTCCATTATCTAAATCCAGACCTTTCTCATAATCTTAAACTTAAACTCTGTGCTCATTAAACAATAACCCCTTATTCCTTCATATCTCCAGCCACTGGTAACCACTAGTCTCTATGAATCTGCCCATTCTAAGTTACCTTATATAAACGGAATCATATAATATTTGTCTTTTATGTCTGGTATAATGTTTTCAAAGTCCATCCATGTGGCAGCATGTATCAGAACTTCATTCCTTTGTAAGGCTGAATAATATTCCACTGTATGTATACCACATTTTGCTTATTTACCTGTTGTTGGACACTTCAGTGGTTTCCACATTTGGTTAGTGTGAACGATGCTGCTATGAACACCACTTTAAATCATTTAAACATCAAACCAGCGAAGGCCAACTGTCTTTCACAGCAAAGTATCATCACATACCACAGTAAAGAGTTTTCGCTGCAAGGGTTGATATGATGTCAACTCCTTCAAAGTCCAAGAACAAGCCATGTTTGGTCTCTGCCCCAATCCACTGCAGGGTGCATCAAGAAGAATTCGATCAAAAGATTCTGGTAAGAATGGGGGCTCTCCTATAAAGAGAATTATAAGCATATTTGTATCTGCCCTATTTGTCTACAATAAAAAAAATTCCTGAGACAGAAGCAATTATCAGGAATTTAAAATCAGTCTGGAATAAAAAGTAGAAAAACAATTACTCCCCTCAATCAATGAAAGTAATTTTTACTTATATTTAATACTGGAGGTCCAATACATGAAGATTTGTACAAGAATGAGCCTTCCTTCCACTGGCTGCCGGGACCACCTTCGCTTCAACCTGTGCTGCCTTCCCGCCTTCCCATGCTGCCCAGAGACCTGGAGCAGCTGAGGTGGTATGCCCTGGGCAGCTCGGTGCCTGTGTATGCAAATTAACCCACCATCTTTGTTGGGATAATTTGCATGCTCACTCCTGATTGGCTGACGGATGTCGTGAAGGTACAATACGCTAATATGGTCAATTAGTATATTGCTCTTTTATTAGGTAGATAGATCTGACTTTATTAAAAGGTTAAAGACTATTACAATTAAGGGTTATTGATAATCTTGATTCAGTGTAAATCAAGTCCTAAGCAAACATGTATCCCCAATGTCAGAAGCCACAATTCATTAGAGCTAAGACCTGGAAAGAATTCAAGTCATTCTGAGAGCTGATACTTCTCGTGGTAATCCTCACTGCAGACAGCACCAGAAAAAGAGAGCACCTATCAGGTTCCAGTCAAGTATACTATAATAAATTGTGTGGTTTCTCAGGCTCCTTGCTCTGCGGCCATCAGCAAGGCTATGCTCTACATTGAGAGAACAGCTCCCTAGACCCAATCTTTCACAGGTTTCCCTATGAATTCAATAATTTTCTTCATTCTAACTTCTGATATATTGTATTTAGTGTTACTAGAGCAAGTCATAAAAACCAAATAGTCTGCTTATATATTTACCAGAGGCCTGATGCACGAAATTGTGCAAGAGTAGGCCTTCCTTCCCCCGGCTGCCAGCACCAGCTTCTCTCTGGCCCCAGCTTCATCCAGAAGAATGTCCGGTCTAATTCACACATTACACTATTATTATAGACTAGGGGTCCGGTGCACAAAATTCATGCACTGGGGAGGGGTCCCTCAGCCCAGCCTGCCCTCTCTCACATACCGGGAGCCCTCAGGGGATGTACTGATGGCTAAAGCCCGCTCCCCATTGAGAAGGGACCTAAGCCACAGTCTGGCCTCCCTTTGCTTGAGGCAACCGGGCCAATCAGGGGAAGGCGCCAGCCCCATCACCTCGCTGCTGCAGACGCCAAGGTATTTTCATCAACATGGAATCCACTCCCTTCACCATGAAAAAATGACAACTTTCTTTAAGCATTTTCAAGATGTGTCTTTCATAGGATATGACATTTCTTTATTTTTCTTTTTATCTTCCCCTGAGGATATGTTTCCATTGATATTTTCCTCTTCCCTCCGATCCCAAGCTCAGCGCCTTCCCAAGCCTATAACCTCCGCCCTAGGCTTTAGGCTTGGGAAGGGGTATCTTCCCAACCCCCACACCTTCAATCACAGGCTCGGTCCCTTCCCAAGCCTAAAGCCTCCACCCCAGGCTTTAGGCTTGGGAAGGAGTTCCCTACTCCCAGCACCTCCGATCCCAGGCTCAGCCCCTTCCCACCAGAACCTCCAATCAGAGGCTTGGTCCCTTTCCACACCTAAAGCCTCCACCCCAAGGTTTTGGGCTTGGGAGGGGGACCCCTGCCCCTCCAATTGCAGGCTCAGCCCCTTCCCAAACCTAAATTATCTGCCTGATGGATGGCTGGGAGTGAACTGGGTACTGAGTATGTTCCCTGGACCCAGATATGTATGCAAATTAAATGCCACCTTTGTTGGGTTAATTTGCATACTCACTCTGATTGGCTGTGGGCATGGCGAAGGTACAGTCAATTTACTTGTTTCTCTATTATTAGGTAAGATAGATGCTAAGTAACTACAAGCAAGATAATGCTGCTGACTGCTTTTACACAAAGCTAGTTGATTTCCTACTGTACCCACAGCATCGTTCTGCTTTTCTTTGATTGCAAAACTGTCAGACACAAGCTCTTATTAATTCATCTCTACTATAACCATCCTTGCTTCCTTACTTAATGTCTCAGGAAAAAGTACCTTTTCAATGTAAATTATTTTCAAGGTTTTTGATATATATTGATACACTATATCTAGAAAGACTATACCAATTTACATTTCTAGATTGTTAAGTATATTTGTCTTCCCCAAATCCTCATCAGAATTGACAATTATTGCACAGCTGGTGTGGCTCAGTGGTTGAACGTTGACCTATAAACTTGAGGGTGAAGATTCAATTTGCGGTCATGGCACATTCCTGGATTGCCAGCACAATCCGCAGTGGGGGTGGGGTACCACAAAGGAGTCAGTCAATCGAAAATTCTCTCTCATCATTGATGTTTCTATCTCTTGATTTCTCTCTCTGAAATCAATAAAAATCTATTTTTTTAAAAAAGGTTGACAATTATTTTACTGGCCATTTGTATTTTTTCTGTATATGGTCACATTCTTTATTTTTGGCCTTTTTCCATTGAGATTGCTATATTTTCCTTTATTAATTAAAAGAGTCCTTTGTATATTAAGAATATTAACCTCTCCTCTAAGTTTTTAGATCTTTTTATATGTTACTAGGGCGCACCTTGAAAGAAATTGTGGGCCACAAGGCTGCAGTGAGCATAGGGGCGGGTCTTGACCCATCCTCCTTGCCCCCAACTGACCCCTATCCCCATGGCTCTCAGTCCCCTGTCTGCTGGGAGCCCCACTCCTACTGCCACTGCTCCCATGTGCTAACAGTGCGCAATGATTGGGACCAGTGCCAGCAGCAGGTGCAAGCAGAGCCTACCCCCATCAATCTGTGAGAATGGCTACTGCTGCCCCAATTGCCCCTCAGGAGTAGGGGGAGGTGGAGAAGCCCTCAGGGGCAATTGGGGCCAGCAGTTACCGCTCACACCTGCTGATGGCACCAAGTGATTGCAACCGGTGCCAGGTGCCAGCAGCAGGTGCAAGTGGTGGCTCCAGCACCAGCTGTAGATGCAACTGGGGCAAAAACTGGCAGAGGGTGTGAATGGTGGCTCCAGCACTAGTAGGGTGTGCAAGCAGGGCCATTGGCAGCAGCTGGTATGAGATGTGGCTGCCGGCCCCAATTACCCCCCAGGAGCAGGAGGAGGTGAAGGAGCCCTGGGGCTGGCAGCTGCCACGCATACTTGCTGATGGTGCCGAGTGTTGGGGCAGGCGCCGGGCTCTGGCAGTGGGTGCGAGTGCCCGGCTGGACCATGGCACACAGGAAATTTTTTCAGTAACCACCAGAGGCTCACACTGATGACAGCGACCAGTGCCCCACCTAGGTCTGGTGCCCCTGCACACCTGCTCCACCATCCCGCTGTGGTTGATGCCCAGCATGTTCCGTGCTCTGCCGCCTGCTGCCAATGCCCACCATGTTCTGTGTGCACACCCTGGTGATCAGCACACGTTATAGGGACCAGTTGTGCCATTGTTCTGCTGTTTGATCTATTTGAATATTAGGGTTTTATATATATATATAATAGATTGCTGAATATTACATATATCTTATTCCTTGTTGAGTTTTATCTTTTCTTTCATGCTTTAAAATCCTTTCCATTAGTGCAATTAATAAATGTTCACCTTTATGTGCTTCTAGTTATTTTAAGTTTCTTTATAGTAAACTCCTTAATCCATCTCCAAATTACTTTTGTGTACATCAAGCATGTCAAACTCAAAGCCATCGAGCTGCATGCCTTGTCTATTTAAATGAGTTGTACACACTTCCCCCCACCCTCCAAAATAATTTGTCACAGATTTACTTATTAACTAATTTATTCTTTCTTCCAGGTTTGAAATGCTTCTTTTATCGTATACTAAATTCTAATGTATATATAAGGACCCATTTCCAGGGCTTTTGTTTTGCCTCAAATTTGCTAGCTATTAATTTCTATTTTCTGAGCTCCAAATCTACCCTCTCTCCTCTGCTAAGATAAAACAGAACATTGCATGTTACCAAGATGCATGAACTTTCCTATGTGTATGCCTCTGCTAATTCTCACCTGCAATGTCCCCTGCACTCATTTCCATTTGTCAAAATGTTCCGCACCCTTTCGAAGCCTGACAAATGACTCCTCCTCCCCTAACTCTTTTTCTATTGTCTCTGTGAGAAATAAACATTCTGACTTCATTTTGTATCTTTCAGATGCACTGTCTTAAATTATAGTCACCAGTGTTCAGGTCTTATTCTCCTTCACCCCAGACATTAAAAAATCCTTAAAAGCCAAGAAATCTTCAAGCTCACAGAATACTTTTGTGTGAACTAGAATTAAGGCACCCCTGCTGGAAACCAAATCAGTTTCACTGAAAAAGAGATATTGACAGGAAGCCAGGAAGGCTGGTCAAAAACCTTAATTGCTCTAACCTTTAGTTGAGATTTTGTTAGCTGAAGCAGAATCTACCTTGTCCGTGAAATTTTCTGTTATTTCCTGCCTAAGGGCTACGTGTAAATTTCTGTTTATGTTGCTTAAGATGTCTTCCCCAGAGCCTCAATAAAAGGGGATGGCAGGCCCAGAGCAGGAGTAGTTCTCCCACTAGAGTTGGACTACCGCCTGGCCCCTCAAATCGCCAAATTGAATTTCTTCAAGTCTTTTTTCATTTGTGTGCGGCCCTTCTCCAGAACCTGAACCCTGAATTGGAACTCTTTCTACGCGGGCCATGAAAGAGAGTCCTATACACCCCTTCCTCTGGATTAACACTGTCCTGCACACAATGAACAGAGCAGAGACAGATTTCAGCTCCCACTAACCCCTTAGCCTGGTGCACTTGCACAGACACAACTGAACACTGTGACCCTGAGGATGGGAGCAATGTCGGGTCACTCACACTTCCTAATAAGTACAATTTTAATGGAAGGTACTGGATGACTATTAAAAACATAAAATTAAGAAATTCATAAAAATATTCTAAACCCGTAGTAAATCAGACAAAAATATCAC